ATGGGCGGCTGCCAGATCAGCTTCACGGTAAAGGGGACAGGGGACACAGGCAAGAGTAAGGGACTAAACACAGAGTGAACAGAAGGAGCTCCAAATCCCCACTGCCCCTATTTTGGGACCTCTCAGGAGGCTTAGTATGGTCTTCTTGTACCCGACACCCACTCCATGATAAGGCTCCCTGTGGGCTTGACTGGGTTTACCTTAGTCCTCCCTACAGACACTAGCTCTGGGTGAGCCTCTCTGTTAGCTCTCACGGATGCGGTGTGACCCTCTCCCCACTTCTACTAGGTGGCCATCGACTTCACTGCCTCCAATGGGGACCCGAGGAGCAGCCAGTCCCTACACTGCCTCAGCCCCCGCCAGCCCAACCACTACCTGCAGGCCCTGCGTGCCGTGGGAGGCATCTGCCAGGACTATGACAGGTGGGAGAGGGGTAGGCTGGGGAGGAGGGAGGTCAGGAGAGAGGCCTGCCTTGCCCGTTAGGCCCCACAGCCTTTTCTTCTCCCCAGTGATAAACGGTTTCCAGCATTTGGCTTTGGCGCTCGAATCCCCCCTAACTTCGAGGTAGGCTGGATTGAGAAGAAGGGAGGATTTGTTGGGAGAGTGCGAAAGGAAGGAGAGACATCTTCTCCCGGCTCTCGCCCTCACAGGTGTCCCATGACTTTGCTATCAACTTTGACCCAGAAAACCCTGAATGTGAAGGTAAGAGGAGAGATTTTCACTGGCCCACCTCCCCCCATACACTTCGTGCAGCCTGTACACCCCATGGCACAGACTCCATCCTCATGGGCCCAGGCCTGGGCTGATCGGACCACTCAGCTGCTGTTTTCATTGGGGACTCCTGGTCCCTGGCCCACCATCTGCCTGGCCTCCTCTCCCAGAGTCTGGACCATCCAACTCTCCTGCTTAGTGAGGAACTTAGGGGGACAGGCAGTCCTGACACAGGAAAGGACCTCTTTGCTTTAAGGGTGTCAAAAGGCCTGCTAATCTCTGCTGGCTTCACCCCCTCGCCTACAGAGATCTCGGGGGTCATCGCCTCCTACCGCCGGTGCCTACCCCAGATCCAGCTCTACGGCCCCACCAACGTGGCCCCCATCATCAACCGCGTGGCCGGGCCAGCTCAGCGCGAGCAGAGCACCGGCCAAGCCACGGTGAGGAGACGCAGCGCGAAACCAGGCGCTGCCCCCCTGGCTGTCCTCTGGTGGGGCCGCGGCCGAGGCTCGAGCTCGGGGCAGGTGCCAACGCCCTGGCACACAGAGCCTACCCTTTCTCCCCGCTGCCGGCCCTAGAAGTACTCCGTGCTGCTGGTGCTCACGGACGGCGTGGTGAGCGACATGGCTGAGACCCGCGCAGCCATTGTGCGCGCCTCTCGCCTGCCCATGTCCATCATCATCGTGGGTGTGGGCAACGCCGACTTCTCGGACATGCGGCTGCTGGATGGCGACGACGGTCCCTTGCGCTGCCCCCGAGGGGTGCCTGCGGCCCGAGACATCGTGCAGTTCGTGCCCTTTCGGGACTTCAAGGATGTGAGTGCCCGGCGCCCCCTCCCGGCTGAAGGACTCAGTCCCCCAGGCCCTCAGGCCCTCAAATCTCACCCATCTGTCCCACTTGGGGTTGATGGCGCGTGAGGGACACTGGCTCCCCGCGGGCCACCCCCGAAATCCCGCCCCCTCGCCTGACCCCGTCCCCATTGTCCGGCCCCCCCCCACCCCGTCCCCACCCCCACCCCCAGGCCGCACCCTCCGCTCTTGCCAAGTGCGTCCTGGCTGAGGTGCCCAGGCAGGTGGTGGAGTACTACGCCAGCCAGGGCATCAGCCCCGGGGCTCCCAGGCCCTGCACCCCGGCCACGACCCCCAGCCCTAGCCCGTGACTGCCTCCCATCGGACCACTGACACTCCCTCCGCCTCTCAGTGAGTCCCGGGGCCCTAAGGGGTGGGGCTTGGTGGAGCACGTGGGGGCGGGGGCTCCGTGCAACGCAGAGGAAGGTGCTAATTGACTATCCATCCCACCGGTCCCAGGTGCCTGTCCTGACCCTTGTGACTCGAGTGCCCAGTGCCTCTCCCCCTTGGACCAGCTGTGCCCCCTAGGTCCTGGAAGTCCGTGGTGAGCCCTGCTCTTTCTCTCCAGGCCCCATACCCCTCAGCCTTGTAACTTTCTTCAGTTATCCTGACTTTCTGGTCTTTAATAAAAGGAATCACTCCTAGCACCTTGGCCTCTATCCATCGTGCCCCATATGGCCATGGACAGTCCATAACCCCCGCCCATCCACCCACACTATTTAGAAATGAGGACCAGCCCTTTCAAGTCTGAGCCACAGCTCCTATGCAGCCTGGTATCTCAGCGGTTTCACCCCAAACTGTGTGCCACTGGGATCTAAGGAGCCCCTCCCTCACCTCCCAACCCCAGGGGGCCCAGCACCATGGAGGTTAATTGCCAGAGATGCAGGGTGGTAATGAGGGGCTGTCAAAGGGGCAGGTTGATGCCCTCTTACAGTTGTCTCCAGAGAAGCCCTGCTGAGTCCTCCAGGAGCTGCACTCCAGCCCCCACACAGCTGTGGGGCAAGCCAAGCAGGGTCGTTGGGGGGACTGAAGGAGGGCAGCAGGTCTGTGAGTGAATTATGAACACAGAGGGGGCATCTAAGGTCTGTGCAGCCTGGTTTTCCTGGGGACGTGAATGTGCGCATGTCCTCATACACTGCACATCCCTGCCTCTCCATGAGTGTGGTCTTAATGTTTCAGGAAGTCAGTCTGTGTCCCCTTAATAACATTAACAACAGCAGTGGACGTTATTGTTTGGAATGTATGAAACTTTGTGCTACATGCTTTAAATGCATTCACTCTCACTAGCATCATTTACCCCATTTTTCTGGCAAACCACGTGAGGCTTCATTTAAATTCACCCATCGTCAAAGAACTGGTGAGCCTGGAATTGAGCCCAGACCCATCTGACTGAAGTGCCCACACTCTTAATCACTAGTGTGCAACTTCTGTGTGAGCCCCATCTAGAGACCCAGGTGTATGTATACGTGGGCTGATTGTGTGTAGGAGGGCAGGTGCCTATGGATGGTGTCTCTGCCCGCCCGTGTATGTGCTGTGCAGGCCTCAGCCAGTTAAGGAAGGTGTGCAAGAGCAGTATTCAGTCTGGACTGAAGCTCCAGAGAGCAGGCAAGGACACAGGTGATAATCCAGAACAAGAGAAGAAAAGATGGGCTCCTGGAGGGGTCCTCGCTGCCCCAGCCTCTTCCTTCAATGATGCTCATGGGAGGAGATGACGGAGGAGAGGCCAAAGGTGCTGTGAGCCACTCAGGAGAGAGGAGCCAGAGCTAGAGAGGGTGGCTAGTGGCCAGTGGCCAGTGGTGGAGAAAGAGAAAAGAGGAAGAAATCCTGGGGGAAATGGAGGAGATGCCTCCCATTGCAGGTGTCTGAGTGGAAGAGGGACAAGCTGCGCTAGAGGAGGGGGAGGAGGGAACAAGAACTGTGAAGAGACAGCTGGGGAGGGGGTGGAAAGAGGGGGCAGAAAGGAAGAGAGACATATGGGAGCCTCTTCTCCACCCTCAACTGCTTCTCCCTATTTATTATGTCCCTTAGAGGACCTACGACAGTGGCTGGTGAGGTAGATGCTCCCAGCTCAATGCCTCTGCTCTGCCCAGGGCCCCCGCCTACTCTCTCTGTAGGCAGATGAACTAGAGGGCTGGGTAACCATGGCAACTATGGGACCTCAGGATAGCCATAGGCAGGCCTGGCCCAGTCACTGCTGCTCCTGGGCTTCTGTGCTATGGTGGTAGGAGGAGGAGGCTCCATCTGGCCCAATCCCCACCCTTCCACCTCATTTTCATTGGGCCTCCAGAACCGATACTACACACACACACACACACACACACACACACACACACAAGCCAAGAGCAAGGCTAAAGAATGAACACATCTTAAATGGCAAGAACATTTAGCCAATGGTATAAAGTTCTTCCTGAACTTCAAGTTTAATTCACAAAAACCACATTCTTTCAACATCTTATCATACTGAGTAAAATCTCATCTCAGCCCTCAGCAAGGCAGGAGGTAGCAAGGGTACTCTATGCAGGTCTGGAGGCCCAGGCAGCCCAGAGGGAACAGCAGAGGACCAGTATGTGGGCTCATCCACTGCCTAGGCTGCAATCAAGAAGCGGGAGCAGGACAGGAAGTCCCTTTGGTGAGGTTATTCTGGGGGCTTCTTGGGGAGACTCTTGGCACTCCCACACCAAGGAGATGCCAGAACTGGAAAGGTGTCAGAAGTCATCCAACCCAGGATTAGATGAGGTAACCAAATCCCAGGGACCAAGTGAGCGTCCCTAGGTGACAGAGGTATCCCGTGGCAGAGCTGGAACTAGCACCCAGGTCTCCAGAGTTCTCTCCCAGCCACTCTCAGAGCTCCTCAGGCCTTTACTGCCCTGGGCCCTGGAGGCCTCTAGGTTGGGTAGGAGTAAAGCCTCTTGGAGAAAGTTCTTAGTCTGTCTTGCTGTTGGTAACTGAAATCTTGAAAACGCAGTAGTCCTAAAATGGGGAGTTTACAAGCCTCCGAATGAGGCTTCATTGCTAATTACCACCTTCATGCACTACAGGTTGAAAACCTTGAATTAAAATCTAAACTGAGGGGGAGTCACACCACTCCCTGGGCTCCCATTCACTGTCACCCAGCTATCATCCACACCTCCCCACCCCACCCCATAGTGCCCAGCACGGGCCCCTCCAGATCTCAGTGTCCTGGTCATGTGGGGCGGAACGGGGGGTGGGGGTGGGGGTGGAGGATTCTGTGTGCTGCCTGCGTGAAGAGAGAAGACCCCTCTCCCCAAAAATGACCAGCATCTAACCTTGGAGCCTGTCTTGAGAGGATATTTACGTATAGTCATACTACGGAGCGTCTGGACCAGAAGGCGCTCAGTAAACCATCTAGTGAAGGGTACAGCGGCCTCCTGGGTGGTGCCCCCCACCCCCCTACGACACCACTCCCCGGGCCCCCGCGGCTCAGAGGAAGAAGTGGGCGTGGTCCCCGGCCCCGGGGCCGCTCGAGGTCAGCCGGTCACAGCGAGCCTTGTAGAGGTCGCGCTCCCTGGCCAGGCGGGCCACCTCGGCCCGCAGCGCGTCCAGCTGGGCGGCCAGGCGGGCGCGCTCGGCCTCCAGCCCGCGCCGCTGCTGCAGCCGCTTGGAGCGACAGGCCTGCGCGTAACCGCGGTTCTTCAGCGTGCGGCGCCTCTGCTTCAGCCGCAGCGCCTCGTCGCGCCCGCAGCCCCGCAGCTGCCGGTTGAGCTCCCGCACAGACATCGACACCAGCGCCGCGTCCGAGAACCGCTCGGCCAGCTGCAGCGGGAGAGGGCAGAGGGCTGGTCAGCGCCGCGTCCCGCCCGGCTCCGCAGTTCCACACTCAGGGGGCCTGCGGGACGGCCCCGCCCCGCCTTCCCGGCGCTCGCGCTCCCGCCGAATCCGCCCGGCAGCCCGGACCCCGCCCCAGGCCCCAACAAGCCCCGCCTCCCCGGGGACGCGCGCCCCCGCGGGCCGCCCCGCGCTGCAGGCCCTCGGACGCCCGCGCCGTCCCCCGCGGTGCTCAGCGGCGGTCCGCAGGCTCTCGGGGCCCCGCGGACACGCGCCCAGGCAAACCCCGCCCCGCCAGGGCACCTCGCTCCCCTGTCCCGAGGGCCGCAACCCTGTGACCCTCAAAGGATTTGGATTACATCCTAATGCCCTCAACACCCCCATCTGTGTCTATAGTTAATAGGATGAGTCCCGATCCTTCCTGAGAAGGTTGGGGGCTGGGGAGGCACGATGTTTGGAAAGGCCAACCCCAGTCCCGTTCCCACAGCCTCAACACGGTTCCTTCCATTCCACACGCGGCTCTTTCCGTGTTTGCACAGACTGAGGATATTTACCTCCCCGTCATCAACCGCTCCCCATTAATTCTCAACTCTCCCCTTTTAGTCCTCTCCTAGCCTTCTCTTCTCCCTCTTCCTCGGGGTTCATACTAGTCATTTCTCTCCATTTGGAAAAAGAGGAGGGGGCAGAGGTATTTTCTCTATTTGATTTCTTTCAAGGGCTCCTCCTTTCTCCTGCCCTCGGGCTCTTCCCCAATCCAGAAACCTCTCCCGAAATTCCCCTTCCTCTCTTGAGCTGTCCTGCCTCACCCTGCCTCCCCTCAGACCACTCACTGATCACTCACCTGTGTACGCTGGGCTTCCGTCCCCTCGGGGCTCCCTGGGTAGTAGCCGTGGGGCCCCTCGATGGGGACTGGACCCTGACCCTGCAGCAGCTCCGCGGCCTCCTCGGGACTCAGCCCCAGTGCCTCCCCAGTTCCCAGCTGCTGCTGCAGGGTGGCCAGCCAGTACAGCTCCTCCAGGCCTGGCCGGGGGCCCTCAGTCGCTCCCGCCATGCCTGGCTCACTGAAGGTGGGTGAAGGAGGCACTGAGCTGTAAGGTGTGGAGCCCAGTGAGGCTGTTGGGGGGCCAGATCGCCCCTCAGCAGGTTCCCGTTTTACCTCAAACTTCATCAAGTCAAAGTCATTGACATATTCCATAGCCAGGGGGCTGGGAGGCAGTGCCATTCTGGGGCTGGTGTGTGGGGAGTGCACCTGCAAAAAAAGAGGAGAGGTTTGGAGCAGCATCTGGAGGCTGCCTGCCAGCCTCCTCCATCAGAACCTGCTTCTCCCAGAGCCCAAGTGCCCTGGAGGGCCGGAGTTCCAGAAAGCTGGGGTGATGTGCAACCCTGTTCCCTAAATAGTCACCTCTGGGCGGCAGAAACTTTTCAGGTGGCAGGGGTTCCTGACTGGGGACAAGCAGCTTAGAGGCCTGACTGAGGAAGAGGATAAATAGCACAGCCTCTGGCCCCACTGGCGCCTCTGGGAGCTCTGAAAAACAGGAGGAAGATGGCAGTGCTCCCAACTCTAGTGCTGGGACGTACTGAGAGGCTCTGCCATCTCAAGAGACATCATTCCATTTCCAAGCAATCAGAAAAATTTTGCTTAATTAACTGTGACAGAGTATGTGTCTATTTTAGGACAATGGGAAGGCACGGATACCACGACTTAATTTAATGTATAAGGATAATGTGATGTTATATTTCTCTCTCAGAATGCCTAGGTCAATGCCTTGCACATGGAAGGTCCTCAGTGCACATCTGTTCTATGGGTGAATCAATCAATCAATCCCTTTTATAGGAGCATGAGACTTTCCAAAGAAAAAAGAAAGATCCTAGAGTCAGTTCTAGAAAGATCAGGACTGAGTGGTGACCACCTTTCCCCAAGCCAATCTCTCCAAAGGGAACCAACTAAAATTGGTTTTCTTCCTTCTACTCAGAATCTGCTATGTTCTGTGAACTGGACAGATTGCCTTCCCCTTTCTGACCGGGTTTCCCATTTTGTTCCATAAAGGCAGTTAAACTTTACCATTTCCCAAAGAGTGTTCTGGGAAGCCCTAAGTCTGAGAAATACCCAAGAAGTTGATGTTCAGATCATTTTGAGAAATGCTGCTCCATCCCATCCCCACATTCTGCAGATTCACAAAGCATAGCAGCTTATCAATCTGAGGAGTCGTTCAGTAAACTGTCTGTTCAAACTCAACCCAGAGTGTCCCAAATTTATGTCAGCAAGGAGCTCTCCTCCCTGTTATCAACTGCAGAGTGTGTGCTCACCTGAGGGACCTCAGGCTAGACGACCTCAGACATCCTTCCCAGCCTGTAGCTCCCAAGTTCTAGCCCAGGTCTCAGTTCCAACAGCCCCACTGCCAGCCCCCCAAAGGTGCAAGGCAGGGAGCACTCATCCCCAGGGCTTGGCATTTGGCTCCATCTTGAGACCCCAAGCCTAGGCAGCCCTCTTTCTAAGGACATCGTAGACCCTCAGGTTCTGCTCCTAGAGGTGGGAGGAGAGACAAATCCTTCTCTCTTCCTTGCCCCTGGGAAGGATTGTTGCCTTATCTCTTGAGCCCCTCACCCTTGAGAGGACAGGGGTGGTAGAAACAAAGACATAGGAGGTGCCTGGGGGGATCAGTGGTTGGGCATCTGCCTTTGGCTCAGGTCGTCATCCCGGGATCCTAGGATTGAGTCCCACATCCAGCTTCTCTCAGGGAGCCTGCTTCTCTCTCTGCCTATGTCTCTGCCTCTCTCTATGTCTCTCATGAATAAATAAATAAAATCTTAAAAAAAAAAAAAAAAGAAACAAAGGCACAGATTGAAGGAATAATCCTTGGCAGGGAAGAGATGGTGAAATGCTGAGTGAGGTGTCCAGAGAGAACTAAATGAAGAGATGCGTGGGGAGGGTTATTTGTCTTTCTGATGTGACAGCACTGAGGGACATAAAGCCAGTCAGGGTGGGAGTGGGGCAGGGAACAGATGTGTGGGGATTCTGAAAAACAGACAACAGAGAGCAGACAGCAGGTGACAGAGGAGGAGGCTGCTGGTGAATGGCCTGGCACCCAGGTAGGCCCCGAATATACTCACCTGGGGAATGGTAGCAATGATGTGGTCAGTGTCAGAGTCAGGCAGGCACAGCTTCCCCAGAGACTGGAGACCCCATTGAGCAGGGCCTGGTGCCTCAGCACTCAGAACAAGGCGCTGAGGGCACCAAGCCCACAGGGCTCTCTTAAAGGGCCAGTGCTCTGAGGTCATCCGTGGTCCTCAGGCCTCTAGCCAATGAGGTAAGGGGATCATTTGCATATCTCATTGGCCTGGGGGGCTGAAGGGAATGAGAAGAGGGGAGAAGACAAGTATGCCTATTCTCAAGGAAGGAAAGGGGGCATCTGCCCCAACAAAGCTCCTCTCTGATGGTCCTTCTCACAGGTGCCCAGTTCCCTTGTACAGAGAGCTGCTTTGGCCTGGCCAGCCACCATCGGGTGAACATCACCCTCAGCCCTCAGCAACTGAGAGCCTGGGACTGGAAAAGAGGCCCAGAGAAGCTCCTGGTGCCCTCACCCTCCAACACTCTGCAGCACCTTGGCAGTGTTTGCAGGAGTACGAGCAGTCCTGAACCCACTCTTTCTCACCTAGCCAGTTGGGACTGTTTCTTGTTTTCAGGAATCCGCACACTTCTGTCCCCTGCCTCACTCCCACTGTGACTGGCCACATACCCCTCACAGCTATTGTATCCGAAAGACAGGCAACCATCCCCACGGTGAATGTCCAGGACTTGGCCACCCAGTCCTCAGCCTCTCCCACTCTCACTGAGCCAGCCCCAGGACAGGCAGCCCAGCTCAGGAAAAGGGGCAGCAGAAGGGAGAGTGGGGGAGAGTGGGGATCTCTGCTCCTTCCTTCCGGGCCACCTCAGGACACTGAAATCTAATCACCACCAATCCATCCGAGACACTTCTGTAACTGCCCTCACACGCCCTCTGCTTCCTCTTGCCTTTTCCCTGCGTGTCTCTGTCCCTCTATCTTCCTTCTCCTCATCCTGGTTCCCAGATGGCTTGAGGGTGACCTACATTTTCAGCCTAATCCCCTAACACCTCTTAGAGCTCTCATCCTTGAGTAGAAGTTGGAACGGGGATGCTAGGAATTAGCTAAGGAGGTGTTTAAACCTGTCTGAAGCTGTTTAAAACAGGGTGTGTATGAGAATAGAACTCTAGGAGTTAATGGTTATTCCCTACCTGGTGAGGATACTCAACCATTCCCATGGGGTTAATGGGCCCTCTGTCCCAAGTCAGAGAGAGACCTGGGTGTCCATCGGCCCCAAGGATGATCGGTTATAAAAATTAACCTTGTTCATGCCTTAGGTGTTGGGTGAAGAGCTGGTGGATTCAGATGCCCTAAAGCAGTAGTTCTCAAAGTGTGGTTCCCCCAACCAGCAGCATCTCCTCAGAACTTGCTAGAGATGCATATTCTCTGGTCTTACCTCAAACCTACTAAATCAGAAACTCTGGGGATGAGACACATACACACACACACACACACACACACACACACAATTTGTGTTTTAATAAGCCCTCAGGCAACTTTGATGAACATTGAAATTTGAGAACCACTGGTCTACAGAATACCTACAGCTAATGCAGCTTTCCCACTGTGTGTGTTGTGGGGGGGGCAGGGTTGGGGGGTCTCTCTTACCATGCTTACAGGTACACACCTATAAGAAGACCTAGATCAGAAGACATCATTCTCTTCCCACATCTGTCCTGCATTGTGTGGAGCAGAGACCATTGTCCCTATTTAAGTAATAAGGCTTCTCAGTGTAATTGCCTGGATCTCGCTGTTTTTTGCAGAAGAACCAGGGCCTGGGGACAATGTCACAAAGTGGGAACGGAGATCATGAAGACAGAGAATAACACACTCGTCCATGGAATGTGGCTTTGCAGCACATACCCAGGAAAGGCCCCCAGAACTTCCTGAGTTGAAGAAGTGTTGAATGCAGCCCCTTTCTCATGCCTGGCCCCAGCCAGACACTCGCCCCTGAGCAGCTGTCAGGTCTGTGTTGATCTTCTTGTTTACTGGACAGCTCAAAGGAGAGATAGGGGGGAGGTGCTAAGCTGCTAACGGGCTCAAAGAGTCAGACTAAACAAGCTCAGGCTAGCTGAGCCGCTCAGGGCTCAGACAAGGTGCCACTGGCTAGGGAAAAGTGTCCAGGATGTGAGGGCTGGGCCAAGAAAAAGAAGCAAGGGCACAGAAAGGAGATGCCGTGGCAATCAGTGGGGCCCCAGAAGGTGGTTCATGGACCATCTTGGTGGGGGTGGACCCGAGCCTAGGAGATGCACACCAAGACATCTGGGGACAGGGAAATGGGAGCGAAAAAGAGGAAGCCAGGTGGACTTCAGAGATGACAGAGGAGAGGAAGGGAGGCAAGGAAGCTTCGCTGAGTGGGGCAGGAGGTGTAGGCCTGCTTCTCCCTCTGCCTATGCCTCTGCCTCTTTCTCTGTGCCTCTCATAAATAAATAAATATATTTTTTAAATAAATAAAAGAGAAAGGAAGTCTTCTGGGGAGGACCAAGAAGGGAGTGAGGGGCCATGAGAGGGGTGATAGGAACAAGGGACCAGAAGAGCAATGGTGGTAGAAGGAAGGGACAGAGGAAAGGTAAGACTGGGGACCAAGAACTAAAAAGAAATACAGAGGAACAGACAGACAGATGCAGGCCACAGAGGAAGCACAGTGGCCAAAGGACACAAAAGGAAAAATATCTAAACAGAGGGATGTTGGACAATTGGGGGAAGAGGGCCAGTCAAGTGAAGTGCCGGGAGAATTGGGGTACAAGATGGAGAGGGAGGAGAGGAGACTGAGCCAGCAATCCAGGGCGCCATCACTAACCTCCTCTGTCCCACACTCCCTTTTTGGAGTCATAAGACCCTGTAAGCCATACAAGTTCTGGCTTTTGGTATCTAGATCTTCAGTAATGGATTCAGGTCTTCAAACCTCTTCCTGGTCTACCTGGTATGTTCATTTGACAAGTGTTTACTAAGCACCAGGCATTGTGCTCAGCATTAGGGACACCTCGGTTAATCAGACTCACACCTGCCCTGCCTTCGTGGAGCGTATAGCCTGATGAGACAGGAAGACATCAATTTATTGCCCTTAGGCCCAGACAAGAGTGGTCTCTACCCTGGGCTCTGTGCTTTTGGAAGGTTCCATTCTGGCTGTGTCCCACCCCATGGGGTAAGGAATTCAGGCCTCCCCTGCCCACCTCTATGGCCCAAATACCCAGGAATTCCCTGCCTACCTCTAGGGCCCACATGGACCTCTCCCCTGGGTTGACCCTTGTAGAAGTGGACCACATTACTGGTATACACATCTCCAGAACCAAAGGCTGGCTGACAGTGACTATTTGCAGGAGGTCACAGACAGAATTGGGACATGTAGACAGAGAAGTCTACATGTGTGCACATGAGGCCCCTCACAGTACAAGATGGTGTCAGGATTGAGAAAAGAAGCAGGCCCAAAGGCCAGGGGCCAAACACATCTTCTCCCCACACCACCACATTCTATTGTAGAATTCTTAGGACTCTGAATAAAATCCAAATCTGATTTCAAATTTGAACTAAATTCCAGACCATTATGCATATATCTATCAAGGTAGAAGTCTTCTTGATAAAAATAAAGATTGAAAAAAAAAATAAAGATTTTATTTATTCATGAGAGACACAGAGAGAGAGAGAGGCAGAGACACAGACAGAAGAGAAGCAGGCTCCATGCAGGGAGCCCGATGTGGGACTCGATCCCGGGTCTCCAGGATCACACCCTGGGCCAAAGGCAGGCACCAAACTGCTGAGCCACCCAGGGACCCTATTTAACAGTTTCTTAGCATAAGTTTCTTAGCATAAGTTCTACACTTTAAATATTTAAACACAAGGGAGTACCTGGCTGGCTCAGACAGCTAAGCAACCGACTCTTGGTTTCAGCTCAGGTCATGATCTTGCTTTCATGGGTTCAAGCCCCTGTGTGTCAGTTCAGTGTGGAGTCTGCTTCAGATTCTCCCTCCCTTCGCCTCCCACTCACTCCAGCAGAGCTTTGCAGTCCAAGTTTAGGATTTGGGCTTTTTTTTTTTTTTTAAGATTTTATTTATTTATTCCTGAGAGACACAGAGAGAGAGAGGCAGAGACACAGGCAGAGGGAGAAGCAGGCTCCCTGTGGGGAGCCCAGTACAGGACTTGAACCCAGGACTCCAGGATCATGACCGGAGCCAAAGGTAGACACTCAACCACTGAGCCACCCAGGTGTCCCTGAGCTCTAAGAGCAGAGAGAAGCTACTAAAGAATTTCTGGCAGGACTGTGACATGATCAGATTGTGTTTGAAAATCTCATTTTGGATTTAGTGTAGAGGAGGGAAAAACGGAATCAGAACCAGATTAGGGGGCTAATGCAGTATCCAAGTTGAGTTTGGAGGATATCTTAAGCTGGAAACAAACTCTGAGATGGAAGCTTGTGTATAGGTGGTTCCCTGCGGGGCAGGGTCGGGGGGTGACTTTTAAAAGCAGAGAGAAAAACAGGACTGGATAGCAGGAAAAGCAGAAATGCACTGCAATTGCACAGAGGCTTTAGCTGATCCCACAGGAGCTCTGGAGCTTGGATGGACCAAACTGAGGAAAGGGGACCAGGCCTTTGGTCCCCTGCATCAACCAGTCCTTGGATACACGCTGCCCCAGGAAAGGGGTGTTACATTTGGTGAGACTGCTCCCTTCAGCCACAGGATGTATTCAGCTGTGAGCCATTAGCAGCCAATGCTCCAAGGCTGGGACAATGAATACCTGGATCCTAAAGAAGGAATCTAGGTGGCACACCACAGCATCCAAGGGCCAGACCCAGAGGGCCTTGGGGAAGAGAAAATGCAGACCAGTGGAAAGCTGGTCACACCCTGCCCCCTGGTGGTGGTGTGGCTGGAACACTGGGCCTACTGGTTGACCAGGCTGGGTGGTGTGCCAGGGAACCATATAAAAGTGTAGCAAATAGGGGCACCTGGGTGGCTCAGTGGTTGAGCCTCTGTCTTTGGTTCAGGTCCCGATCCCAGTGTCCTGGGATTGAGTCCCACATCGGGCTGCCACAGGGAGCCTCCTTGTCCCTCTGCCTATGTCTCTGTCTCTCATGAATAAATAAAATCTTAAAAAAAAAAAAGTGTAGCAAATAAAGGGAATCAACACTATAAGGAAACCTTCATAGGAGCCCCTAAAGTTAAGGAAGGAAGGATATAATGGAGCTTCAGGAACATGAGACTTGTCTACTCTTTTATTCAAATAGCATTTATTAGCTGCCTATTACAGGCCATTCTACTAGGAACTAGGATAAAAACAAGACTAAAATGTGGGTCCTTCCTTCAAGGAACTAACACTTGAGTAAGGATTATAGAGATACAAAAGCAACTATAGTAAAGTGTGAGAATTTCAAAAACAGAGGTATGTATACAGTATAAAACCAACACAAATGACATAGATGTTAATTCTAAGAGTCAAACTGACTTCACCTAGGAGGGGATGTTTAATTTAAATCTGAACAGCTGAAGGGGTTCACAGAAGTGCTCTGGAAACTGCAGCTGGGTATGTGGGAGAGGTGGCAAGTAGGGAGGTGGCAGTGATAATGCTAGATAAATAGGAGCCAGATTACAAAGGGTATCAGTTACCACGTTGTAGGAAGCCTCGAAGGGATTTTAAGCCTTAAAGTGATATGATCTCACTTTTTTTAAAATGATAAATCAAGGGGACACTATAGGATTGGAAGGGAAAAAAGTAACCTGGTAAGAAGAGTCAGAAAGGCTTGGATTCAGATTCCATTTCTCTCTGATGACCAGCTATGTGACATTGAGTAGATGACAACTTCTTCTAAGGTTGTGAAACTGAATGAAATGATGCGTGTAAAGCTGTTGGCACAGAATCTGATCTAGTGGCCACACAATAAACATTATCCCTCTTTCTCTTAACTCATCAAAGTGAAGTTACATGCGGAGTTTGGAGGGTAGCTTAGTGGGAGGGAGTCGGGTGGCATTTGGAGAGGTGGGCGTCCAAGAGGTGGCTTGGAAGATATCACCTGAAGCCAGGTGAGAGGCAAGCCCTGAACTAAGCCAGTGGCCTTGGGGATAGACATAGATTTGAGAGCTAATTGGGAAGTACAGATCCAAAGGTTCTGGTGTCTGATTGGCTCTGGAAGAGAAGAAATAGCCTAGACTGATTCAGGTTCCTCTGGAGCAACTGCCTAGATGCTGGTACCATTCACTGAGATGGGGAAGCATGAGAGCAGGTGCAGGATTATGGAAGAGGTGATGGCCTTCGGCAGATCCATGCTGCCACTGGCATGCACAGCTTTAAGCCCAAAAGGTGGACAAGAAGGCAGCTGTTTGAAGTGGAGTAGGTGTGGACAGAGTTTGGATATAGGAACTGGAGGAAAGAATCCCAAATATATACACATGAGGTTGAGTCCAGGATGCAGACTGGGTGGAAGAGATAGAGAGCCAACAGCAAGCCTAAGGCTGGGGGCCAGCCCTCCTTGTCCCACTTATTCTAGCACAAAACTCTGAGAAGCCTGAGAATAAGGATTGTTTCTGTTGCAAATGGCAGAAATCCACTGAAAATGAGCTTAAGCGAGAGAAGAAATTTGTTGACTCATATAACTGAAATCAGGGAACTGTAGCTCTCCATCCCTCTGCTCTACTTCCTCCAGGCTGCCTTCCATCTAGGGCAGTGCCAAGCTGACACCCAGCAGGTTTATCCTACCTGGTTTATATCCTACCTAGGTTCATATCCTATCCTACCTAGGTTTATATCCTACCAGCTCAGCAAACCCAGCAGAAAGAGAGCCCATTTTGAAAGTTTACAGCAAAAGTTCCCAAGAGGGAACTCCTGCCCATCCCTGAACATTCCCAATCGCTGTGGCCAAAGCGAGGAACATACAAATTGGCCAAACTGGGATCCCTGGGTGGCACAGCGGTTTGGCGCCTGCCTTTGGCCCGGGGTGCGATCCTGGAGACCGGGATCGGATCCCACGTCGGGCTTCCGGTGCATGGAGCCTGCTTCTCCCTCTGCCTGTGTCTCTGCCTCTCTCTCTCTCTCTCTCTCTCTGTGACTATCATAACTAAATAAAAAAATTAAAAAAAAAATTGGCCAAACTGAGAGCCTACCCATAGAAGACCCATATGATCACAGGGACTGAAGAGGTGGTTCCCCAAAGGAACATCAGGGTGCTACTACCAGAAAGGGGGAATCAATGCTGGGCAGGTGCCTACCATAGACATGTTTGAGTTTGACATACTGTGGCGTTTGGGGTGATACTCAGTGCTCTCAAGTTGGAGACCTGACTTGAGAAATTACCTAAGGACTTTATGGGGGTGGTTGGGTGGGACAGATTTGTTCTCCGGGAGAGTGTGGCAAGAACAGCAGGGCAGAGGCCCAAAGGAACGACTCTGGGGGGAGAGGCACCACCACTTCATGGGAAGGCAGAAGAGAGCCCTCATCAGGAGGAGAAGAAGCAGGGATATGGGGTTATGGAACCTTAGCCCTGGGGCCCTGGAAAAAAAAAGCCTGGGTCTCAGAGTGTCCAGTCCCCAGGAAAAGGGAAGAGGCAATGTCCAACCCCCAGCTTCTGGACTTCCAGCCTCCTTGCGCCCCTGCCCTGGCCTCACGCCTCGTTCCTGGCTTGCGGGCCACCCCAGGGTCTCCCAGCCCCAGCTCGGGAGCAAGAGTCCTCAAAGTTACATCATGTGCAGGGGACGAGGCGGGGCGGGGCGGGGCCTCGCGGAGGCGGGGCCGGCACGGGGCCCGCCGTCCAATGGGAGGGACGGGTTTGGGGCTAGGATGCGGGCCTGGGGCGGCGCCTGGGCGGGCCTGGGGCCGCGGACCCGCGGAGCGAGGGTCGCGCCGGCCCGGCCGGGTTCCGCCCCCGCCCCCGCCCGCCCGCCTCCTTCTTAAGCGCCTCCCGCCGGGCCGTCGCTCCCGCTCGCTGCGCGCGCTCCTGCCCCGCCTTCCTTACCTCCCCGGGTCCTCGCGGCTCTCGCGGCCGCCCCGCAGCCCCCGCCCAGGTGCCATGGCCGCTGTGTACCGCCCCGGCCTGCGGTGAGTGAGCCCCAGCCGGGGCCGACCCGCACCTCCCGCCGCGCTCGGGCCCGGGAGTGCCGGGGGCGCTCTGCCGCCCGCCCGCCGCCGCCGCCGCCGCCGCCGCCTCCGCGGGGGACGCGTGCTTCTCAGGGCCCGGCGGCTCGCGGGAGATCGGGGGTGGCCTCGGCCGCTCTGGGTCGCCCCCGCTTCCGTCCCCTCCTCCCCCTCCCTGCTTTGCTGGTCTCTGACCGCGCGGTCTCGATCTGCCGCTCTTAGAACTTCCTCCCCCTCCTCGCTTGCCCCCGCCAAGCCCTGTCACCTCGTCTCTTCCTTTCCTGTACAGAGCTAACTCTTGTGCCTCAGTTGCGATCAGAAGCGGTAGGGCCCTGGGGTCAGGGATGCATGAACCCCTGGGGGATTGAGCTCAGAGCTCCCCAAAGAAGGTAGAAGGTAAACCTCCATTTCCCAGCCCCCCGCGAAGTGGAGGGAAGCCGGGTGCAGCCAAGGGACCTGGGGCCAGGGCAGGAGGGAAACAGGCTGCCTTCAATTCGTATATGGCTGGCTTCAACCCCTGTCCAGGACGGGAGCCCCTTGGCCCTCTACCTTTTCACAGCTTCCCATCTTTCCTGGGTAGCCTCCCTTCTCCCCAGAATCTGTCCCAAAGTCTGAACTGACCCCATATCTCTCCAACAGCTGGTTCCACTTTGCCAGCCCTTGTAGGTGGTCTTCGGAGCAGAGGAAAAGGAGAAGGTCCCACTTAGGGAACTGGAGAGGAGGGGGGGAACATCACCAGAGCCTTCCTGAGCCAGGCCCCCTGTGGGGAGAAGCTCTCCCCAGGACTGGGTGCCTTTGAAATTAATGCTCAGGAATAACTCTCCAGGTTCCAGGAGTCCTCGTCCTCTGCCCCTGTGGCCATACTGGGTTTCCATCCTGCTTTCTCCATTGGAAGCCAGCCCGGGTCCCCCTCCAAGCAGGCTCTGACTCCCACATCCATGGTCTGAATGACTGTTCTCCCTCCCCTAGGCTGACAGCCTCTGAGTTTGAGCATTCTGCAGTCTGATGTTCCCTCCTACCACTAACACCCGAAGCTCTCTAGGCTTCCCCTCTGAGGGGAAGGACAGGGGCATGCAGTCCAATGTGTGGAGCAGTTTCTGGTGGGCAAGGCCCTGCCATAGGAGGAGGGCAACTTCCCTCTTGTGGCCTTTGCTCTCTGGGTTACTCCACCCTGAGTCCAGGCCAATCAGAGCAGACCCTGCTTCTCCCTCTCCCTGTGAAGAGACAAACAACAGGGACCCCGCCCTCCTGGGAATGGGCTTGAACCCTAGCCAGTGACATTCCCCAACAGTCAGCTTTCGACCCACCTACCCAAAGGCAACATCTTATGCAACCCTCGTTGGCCAGATGAGCATCCAGATGAGCAGGTGGGGAGCCCTAGCTCTGATGCCTGAAACCTCAATATCCAGCTATTCACTCTCTGTGCAAGAGAGCCTAATCTAGAAACCTGGGACTATCCAACTCAAAGACTGGGTCCTTTGCTGAGGCTTTCACAGTCTTATAGCATACACACCAGAAGAAAAAAAGTAAAAATAGCTGCTTTTTTTAACTTATAAAAATTGTACTTGAGAATGGGAAGAACAGGGATGAGACCTTCAAATACGAGACACATGAAACTCACCTAGGCGCAGCTTATCAACACTGGGCCATGGGGCACCTCCTCATTTCCAACATCCAACCAGACACAGTTAAACGTGGGCGTGGGCTAAGCCAGCAATAACCTCAGCATGCCTACACACATGCTCCATACCGCCAGGCATGTGCCCTTATTCTCATTGGGCAATACCTGTCCCTTGCTGAACAGGAGACTCCCTCGCTGAGACTCACAGAGCCCACGATATACACGCTTTTGCACACTCCCTAGCACCCCTCAGGCTTCCTATCCCCTTGACTCGCCCATCTTCCATGAGAACACCCTGCTCACCACCTCTCTGCTTCTTGTCTTGCAGGCTTAGCTGGCCTGGGCTGAGCCCCTGGGGCTGGTCATCCTGGCGCAGCATCCAGACCCTGCGGGTACTCAGTGGAGATCTGGGCCAGCTGCCTGCTGGGGTTCGAGACTTTGTGGAGCGCAGTGCCCACCTGTGCCAACCAGAGGGCATCCACATCTGTGATGGCTCTGAGAGTGAGAACACTGCCACACTGACCCTGCTGGAAAAGCAGGGACTTATCCGAAAGCTCCCCAAGTACGACAACTGGTAAGCCCTCAGCCCCATGACCCACCCATGAGGTGGGGGCAGGGGCAGCTGCTTGCACCGAGGCCACTTTCGATTCACCAAGACAAAATCAAAGTTAACGAGACCATCCCAATGAAATGAGCAAGAATGGGACCTCTGGGAGAAACAGAATCAGGAATTAGTGGGATTGGTCTGTATTTTTACATTAAACAGAGCTGCTGACACAAGTAAAAAAACCTGTGCCTTTTTTTTTTCTCTCTCTCTCTCTCTCCCCCAAGTTCAGAGAGTTTTCACTAAGGACCTTTAGAAGGCTGGGCGGAGGGAACTACCCCCTTAGATGGGATAAAATCTGGAGGAAGCAACTGAGGTGCAAATGGATGGAAAGAAATCAGGCCCACAGAAGACCTAGAGTCCAAGTGGGACCTGAAAGATTGGATCTGGGGATGAGGGAGTTCGGCTGGCCACATCTTCCTGATAACCCTTCTCCCCCAGCTGGCTGGCCCGCACAGACCCCAAGGATGTGGCACGAGTAGAGAGCAAGACGGTGATTGTAACTCCTTCTCAACGGGACACAGTGCCCCTCCCCGCCGGTGGGGCTCGTGGGCAACTAGGCAACTGGATGTCCCCAGCTGAGTTCCAGCAAGCTGTGGATGAGAGATTCCCGGGCTGCATGCAGGGTAACCTGGGCAGGGACACAGAACCAGGGGCACTGAAGGTACGAACAGGTTAGAACCTCTCATCCAGGTGGCATTTTCTTCCACAGGCCGAACCATGTACGTGCTTCCATTCAGCATGGGTCCCGTGGGCTCCCCACTGTCCCGCATTGGGGTGCAGCTCACTGACTCAGCCTATGTGGTGGCAAGCATGCGCATTATGACCCGGCTGGGGATGCCCGTGCTTCGGGCCCTAGGAGATGGCAACTTTGTCAAGTGTCTGCACTCGGTGGGCCAGCCCCTCACTGGGCAAGGTAAGTGTTTGCCCTGCCTAGGGGGGATCATAGACCTGCTTGCACTCGGAGGGAACTCCAGATTGTACCCATCCTAATTTGTGAAATACCTAATTCCCAAAATCTAGGGCAGTGGTCTGGGCTGGAGATGATGCCGTACTGCCAGAGCACTTTGCACAAGATTGAGAAAAGTCAATTGTCCACGTCCCAAAACAGGGACATGGGAACTGATGGATATTATGAGGTGGAGGGCCTTAGCCCTCATTGGCACCACCACAGCTCCTAAGTGCCTCTCCTGCCAACCCCGATCCCTCCAGCCCCTAACACCTCAGTCCCTGATGCCCTCGCCAGCAGCCAGCTCTATGACCCCATTGTCCCCTAGGGGAGCAGGGGAGCCAGTGGCCATGCAACCCAGAGAAAACCCTGATTGGCCATGTGCCTGACCAGCGAGAGATCGTCTCCTTCGGCAGCGGCTATGGTGGCAACTCCTTGCTGGGCAAGAAGTGCTTTGCCCTTCGCATCGCCTCTCGGCTGGCCCGGGACGAGGGCTGGCTGGCGGAGCACATGCTGGTGAGGGCCTGGTGAGGATCTGGGCAGCTGCAGGGAACAGGGCAGGGGTGGGGCCTGGCTGGCAGCATTAGCCTCACCTCCCCACTGCCAGGTGCCAGGCTGGTAGGCAGGGATTCTGCCCAAATGACTGAAGCTTTGGTCCCAGGCTGCTGAACACTGAGGGGGCTCTGACTTGCCACCACCCCAACCCCGTGGTGAGGTGTTGGCACCTGTTTAGCAAATAAACATTTGTCCTCCCTGTTAATAACCCCCAGCTGTCCTTTCTTTGCAGACCATAACTGACCTTTGGTGACCTCCTCTTCGTTCCCTCTCTCCCCAACACACAGATCCTGGGTATCACCAACCCGATGGGGAAGAAGCGCTACGTGGCAGCAGCCTTCCCCAGTGCCTGTGGCAAGACTAACCTGGCCATGATGCGGCCAGCACTGCCGGGCTGGAAAGTGGAGTGTGTGGGGGATGACATTGCCTGGATGAGGTTTGACAGTGATGGTGAGAGGCCCTTGGATCATAGTCGCAGTTCTGGTTCTTACTAGAGTGTAAGAGTCTCCCTTCAAAAAAAAAAAAAAAAGAGTCTCCCTTCCACTGCTTCTGGCAGACCTGCTCCGTACCTCCTGGCAGCAGTCTAGCCACCTAGAGACAGAATCTCCCCATCAGATCTGGGGGCCAGCTCAGGGCAAGCAGGAGCAGAACAGAACCTTCCATGGCTGCACCTCTCAACCCTTCCTGGTTGGTCCTTCTTTTCTTTCACTTCTCCTAACAGGTCGACTCCGGGCCATCAACCCTGAGAATGGCTTCTTCGGGGTGGCCCCTGGTACCTCTGCCACCACCAATCCCAATGCCATGGCCACAATCCAGAGTAACACTCTCTTCACCAATGTGGCTGAGACCAGCGATGGTGGAGTATACTGGGAGGGCATTGACCAGCCCCTTCCACCCGGTGTCACCGTGATCTCCTGGCTGGGCAAACCCTGGAAACCTGGTAAGTGGGGTGGGAGAGTTGTGACAGCCTCCCCCGGGCTCAGTACCTTGATGATATAAAAGCCTTCTCCACAACCATCCTCCAGGACCTCTGGGAGGCACAGGAAGTTATGAATATTCCCAGTTTCCAACCCCAAACGAGATCTCAGGTCAAATCCCAACTCCACTAAGTACTGGCTTTGGGATCTGGCTAAGTTGCTTACCCTCTTGAGCCTCAGTGACCCCATCAGTTAAATAGAGGTAGTTACCAAAGTATCTATCTCCTAAAGCTAATATGAATGCAAAGGGTTTAGCACAGTGCCAAATACATAGCAAATTATCAATAAAAATAAGCCAGAATGTTTTTTTAAAAAAAGGAAAGGCAGGGATCCCTGGGTGGCGCAGCGGTTTAGCGCCTGCCTTTGGCCCAGGGCACGATCCTGGAGACCCAGGATCAAATCCCACGTCGGGCTCCCGGTGAATGGAGCCTGCTTCTCCCTCTGCCTGTGTCTCTGCCTCTCTCTCTCTATGTGACTATCATAAATTAAAAAAAAAAAAAAAAAAAGGAAAGGCAAAGACTGCTTTGAAATTTTTCACCGAGCAGCCGGGGTGGCTTAGCGGTTTAGTGCCGCCTTCCGCCCAGGGCGTGATCCTGGAGACCTGGGATAGAGTCCCACGTCAGGTTCCCTGCATGGAGCCTGCTCCTCTCCCTGCCTGTGTCTCTGCCTCTCTCTGTATGTCTCTCATGAATAAATAAATTAAAAATCTTATAAAAAGGTATTTTTACACAAGGAATTGGGCTCAAAGTACAGTCCATAAAGTTTGACCCATTAGGAAGGAGGAAACCTGACCCTCCCCCTGCCACTTGGTTCCCACCATCCTCTGTATAACAACCATTGTCTAAAGGTCAGTGTTGGGGAGCCTGGGTGACTCACCAGATGAGTGGTTGACTCTTGATTTTGGCTCAGGTCATGATCTCAGGGTCACGATATTGAGCCTCCTGACCACTCTGCACTCAGCAGGGAGTCTGCTTAAGATTCTCTCATTCTCTCTCTCTCTCTCTCATTCTCCCTCTCTCTTCTCTCTCTTCTCTCTCTCTCTCTCTCTCTCTCTCTCTCTCTCTCTTTCTTTCTTTCTCGACGCCTTGGGTGGCTCGTGGTTGGGCGTCTGCCTTTGGCTCAGGGCGTGATCCTGGAGTCCTGGGATCAAGTCCCACGTCGGGCTCCCTGCATGGAGCCTGCTTCTCCCTCTGCCTGTGTCTCTGCCTCTCTCTGTGTGTCTCTCATGAATAAATAAATAAAATCTTTTAAAAAAAATTCTCTCTCTCTCTTCCTCTGCCCCTACCCCCCTCTAAAATAATAAATCTTTAAAATAATAATAATAATAATAGTAATTAATAATAATAAATAAAGGTCTGTGTTGTTACCCTTGCCCTTCCTCATCCCTCTAACACGCACAACCCAATAACCCAATCTTCTGTTTGTCCATCTTCTGGATGAAATCTGACCAGCTCTTTTGCCGCTTCTTTAAAAAAAAAAAAAAAAAAGATTTTATTTATTCATGAAAGACACAGAGGGAGAGGAAGAGAAGACACAGGCAGAGGGAGAAGCAGGCTACTCACAGGGAGCCCAATGTGGGACTGGATCCCCAGACCCAGATCATGCCCTGAGTTGAAGACAGACACATTCAACCACGGAGCCTGGGCTGAGCCACCCAGGCGTCCCTCTTTAGCCTCTTCTAAAAGCTAGTCTCTCAACCCTGTCATTGCCCCTGGCGCCTCACAGCCCTGCCCCTCCCCCACCCCTGCCCTCTGGACCTTCTGCAGCCAGAGAGCCCTGAGAGCTAGGGAAGAGAGCAAACAAGTGCCTGCTGGGGACGACATGCTTGTGGTCGCTGAAGCCTAAATTCACATTTGCTGGGCTGGCTGAGCATGCTCCCTCCTTATCTAATCACCCCTCACTTTATCCACCACCATCATTAAGCCCTCCCAGGCCTCCCCACCCAACTGAGAAACCCAAGAAACTTTCCTACTTCCCTGCAGGCTAATTCCCCAACCCTTTCATCATCTCTAGATTCAGGGGTATAAGTAGGGCGTGTTGTGCCCAGCTGTAACTCCCGGAATAACCCTGTGCCAGGGACCTGAATTGGGGGTTGATGGAAGTACAGAGGCTCTTACATGCAAGTGGAGGCAGGAGCTGGGAATTGGGAAGGGGACGCGGTGGGAGTAGGGGACTGGCTCTAGAACTCCCTTGGTCCCCCCAGGGCTGACCAGCAACCTCCAGCAGAGAAGACACCGTGTCCACTCAGGGTCCCCAAGGTGCTGCTTTGTACATATGCCACTGACTTGGTCCATCCCCTCTCCAGGGCACCTGAAGGGGCCAGATGACCTCTGTTCCTCAGGTTATCTCTGAGTTCTTCAAGCCCTATCGCTCCATCTGGGTCTGAGCAGACCCAGGGAAATCACCAGAATTCTGCTAGCTTCAAAATGAATTTACATTTTGATATCTCAGAAGATCCCATCTTCCCCTAGTTGCTGATGGAAAGCCAGTTGTCTGAAATGCTGATCTGACAGTCTCAGTTTTTGCTTCAGATTTGAGTGTTTGTTTAAATAATAATCCCATAAATAAATTGTTTCTGGGATAAATTTTCCGCTTTAACCTTCTGCCACTAGCTAAGCCCATTCCTTTGAGCACTGGTCAATGCCAAGTAGCTATAGCTTGGCATAAACAGTAGTGTCTTGCTAAACCCCAATTCCTCACCCACTCTTTCTCACATAGCTCAGCTGGCAGCATCATTATAGGTAAATAACCTGATCTTTTGGGGGACATGTCCTGACTCCCTTCTCCCTCCTCCTTCCCACAACAACGGCTTGCAGGGAATTGATAACACAAATGGAAATTGTGCAAGAGTGCATGCAAAAGTAAGTGTGTGTTGGGGGTGGACAAGTCCTTGGAAGTGATAGTGGTTGTATTTCCCCTGCCAGGAGACAAAGAGCCCTGTGCACATCCCAACTCTCGCTTTTGTGCCCCGGCTCGCCAGTGCCCCATCATGGACCCGGCCTGGGAGGCCCCTGAAGGTGTCCCCATCGATGCCATCATCTTTGGAGGCCGCAGACCCCAAGGTAAGCATCGTGTGGGCTCCATGCCTTCTGGCTCCATTTTAGGGCCCGCCTCTCTCTTGTACTGCCTGGATTGCCAGCCATAGCTTTCTGGCTGTAGAGCTGTCCCCTGGAGAATGCAAAATTAGGGGGAGGCATGGGATTCAAAAATGGGATGGCAAAGATCCTAGGAGAGCCAGGCCAGGAGTCCAGATCAGCAGTAGGGATGGAGTGAGGGTCCAAAGAAAAAAGCCACCTGTGACCCTGTTCCCCTGGGTTCTAGGAGTACCCCTAGTATATGAGGCCTTCAACTGGCGCCACGGGGTGTTTGTGGGCAGTGCCATGCGCTCGGAGTCCACTGCAGCAGCAGAACACAAAGGTGGGTGCCCTCTCATACCCCTCTTCTGAGTACCCACATTGCTGCTTCTCACCCTTCCTGAGCCAGACCTTCCTCCTGCCTGCCCTCCCCACGTGTCTCTTTTCCGGATCCCTTCTGTCCACCCTGCTCTGAGGAGATTCCAGAGCCACCAAAGTTTCACGACTCCCTCCAGCCAGATGCAGGGTGTCCTTGCCTTCTCCGATAACAAGACAGATTCCTTACCTGCCCTGCTCCCCTCCCCAGGGAAGATCATCATGCACGACCCATTTGCCATGCGCCCCTTTTTTGGCTACAACTTTGGGCGCTACCTGGAACACTGGCTGAGCATGGAAGAGCGCAAGGGGGCCCGGCTTCCCCGCATCTTCCACGTCAACTGGTTCCGGCGGGATGAGGCAGGCCGCTTCCTGTGGCCAGGCTTCGGAGAGAATGCTCGGGTGCTAGACTGGATCTGCCGGCGGCTAGAGGGAGAGGACAGTGCCCAAGAGACGCCCATCGGGCTGGTGCCCAAGGAAGGCGCCTTGGATCTCAGTGGCCTGGGAGCTGTAGACACCACCCAGCTGTTCTCACTCCCCAAGGACTTCTGGGAACAGGAGGTTCGTGACATTCGGAGCTACCTGACAGAGCAGGTCAATCAGGATCTACCTAAAGAGGTGTTGGCTGAACTGGAGGCCCTGGAGGGACGTGTGCGCAGGATGTAACCTGAGGCTCCAGGCTAACAAGAAAGCACAGCATCCCCCATCCCTTCCTACCCCCCATCTAGGGATAGGAGAGCCACCAGGCTTGCAGAAAATATGAGTAATTTGATATAACTGACATCTGGGTGCCATGAAACCAGGCCACAGACTTTCTCTGGCACTCTGTCCAATAAGATGCTCATTTATTTTCCACAACTTTCTTGCTGTTTTCATTCCTGCCTGTCTTCACGGGCTTCTAACATCAATTTCACAGTCGTCTTGCAGCCCTCCAGGCAGGAAGCCTGGCCTGGCACAGCCTCGTGGTTTCCAGGACCTCACAGGCAGCTCTGCCATTGGACCTTAGATGTAGGAATTTCTGGGAGAAGGCACATCAACTCTATGTTCCGAGGCCTTAAAAAGATGGAGCTTCTGTGAGCTGCTCAGTCTAGCCTCTAGGCCTAAAGTTCTTGATCTCCTTCTGTGAGATGCAGAAGCCTCTATAACCCCATTCCCGCAGTTCCATTGTCAGTTGTTAAACCTGTTCTTCCTCCTGCCTGACCTGAAATTGGGACTCATACATGAAAACATATTCAATATTAAGACAGCTAACACTTCTATAGTACCTTCTATGTGCCAGGTACTGTTCCGAGCATGTTACAAAACAACACTTTGAAGCAAGTACCACATTACAGAGGAAGAAACAAAGGCCCAAGGAGGTCAAGTAATTGTCCAAGCCCATACAGTGAACAGTAGAGCCAGGGTAAAGAGTAACTGCATAGACATCTCTCAGAGCAGCAGCAGACTTGTAGAACTAGAAGGACTTGGGCAGCCCGGGTGACTCAGCGGTTTAGTGCCGCCTTCAGCCCAGGGTGTGATCCTGGAGACCCAGGATAAAGTCCCACATCAGGCTCCCTGCATGGAGCTTGTTTCTCCCTCTGCCTGTGACTCTGCCTCTCTCTCTCTGTCTCTCGTGAATAAATAAATAATATCTAAAAAAAAAAAAAAAAAAACTGGAAGGACTTTAGATGTCCCCCATCCCATGCTTCTCAAACTTAAAAGTACATATGAATCACCTAGGGATAAAATGCTCATTCAGCAAGTCTGAAGTGGCCAGAAGATTCCGTTCCTCTTACAATCTCCTAATTGATGCTGATGCTGCTGATCTGGGCACCATAGTTGAAGTGGCAAGGCCTTGGCCTAAATCCTCAGAAATGAGCTTTAGAGGGAAACCATAAAGAAAGCGATGATCCTCCATAAATCAGGGGCACCGGCTAAGGGATAACTTCACCTCTGATCTGAATCAGGCTGAGTGATGGTATAAGTTTGGGAAGATGGAAATCTGTACCCAGAAAATGAGAATAAACTTCAACAAATATAATGGAGTTACTGGGAATTGCCTCCAAAGAAAACACTGGAGGAGGAAACACTAAGTGTTTCATAGAGGACAGCCAATCATTAGCTACCATGTGTAAGCAGAAAAGAATCTAAGGTCAGAGTGGATCACGTGCTAAAACATGGTTAGTAATGGAGTCTATTATACTTAAAAATATACAGCCAAATCCTCAGCTTCATGAGCAGCATATGGTAACAGAATAGGATCAGAGGCAGCATAACATAGATGTTAGGCACACAGCAGAGTCTGGGCAGCGGTGCTCTGAGTTTCTTCATCTGTAAAATGAAGATGTGCCTGCACCTCACAGTGTTGTTAGGAGGATTCAAAGGGTCAGTGGAGCCAGGCACTCAGAACTATGCCTGGCACAGAGTAATCATCGCCAAATGCTAGCTGCTCTCACTTTTCCACTCTGTATTGATTGGAGTAGACCCTATAAGCCTCTATCACATATTGCTGACTCCTCAGTTTACGAGGAAAATAAGCAATGTAAATAATATTTAGGCGAGAACGAAAATAGGTTTGGAAATAAGTCCCTCTATGAAAGAGGCAGGGAAGTGGGGCTCCAGGCCCCTCCTGGTATCCACATGCTAAGTGATATGAAGGTACTAGTCTTAAAAGTGGTTTTGATGATTAGAATAAACTTGGGCTGTGTGCCTTGCAGCTGCAGATACATGATAAAACATAGTTAACACATTTTAAGTAACCTTTTCATTTTTAGTAATTTCTTTTTTTTTTAAATATTTTATTTATTTCATGAGAGACACAGAGAGAGAAAGAGAGGCAGAGATACAGGCAGAGGGAGAAGCAGGCTCCGTGCAGGGAGTCCAACTCAGGACTTGATCCTGGGTCTCCAGGATCACACCCTGGTCTGAAGGCAGCACCAAACCACCAAGCCACCCGGGCTGCCCATTTAAGTAATTTCTATACCCAATGTGGGGCTCCAACTCACAACCATGAATGAGATCAAGAGTTGCACACTCTTCTGAATTGAGCCAGCCTGGCATCCCTAATCTTTTTAAAATAAAACACAGGTAGGGCACCTGGGTGGCTCAGTGGTTGAGCATCTGCCTTCCACTCAGATCGTGATCCCGGAGTCCTGGGATTGAGTGCCGCAATATATCTGCCTATATCTCTGCCTTTCTCTCTGTGTCTCTCATGAATAAATAAATAAAATCTTAAAAAAAATTACTTAATCACACACACACACACACACATACAGAAAACCATGAAAAACAAAGGTATAGCTTCATAAACTAAGAAAAAGTGAACACCTTTTAAACCATCACCCAGGGCAACCCGGGTGGCTTAGCGGTTTAGCACTGCCTTCAGCCCAGGGTGTGATCCTGGAGACCGAGGATCGAGTCCCACATCAGGCTCCCTGCATGGAACCTGCTTCTCCCTCTGCCTGTGTCTCTGCCTCTGTGTGTGTGTGTGTCTCTCATGAATAAATAAATAAAATATAAGTAAATAAATAAATAAACCATCAGCCAGAGAAAGAAACAGAACTTTGCAGACACCCAAAGCCCCCCACCCCCTCCCCCGACATGTTCTTCACCTTCATCACAGCCCCTCCTTGGCATAAATGGATACTTATGGTGCATGATAATCATGTCCTTTAATTTTACTTTTGTGGCTTTATCACCCAAATGTGGATCCCTAGACATTATACTTCAGCTTTGCCTATTTTTAAGAATTTCATATGCCTTTGAAGGCATGCCTTTCAATCTTCACGCTCCCCCTCCATTCCTTTCTTTTCCCTCAATTTAACCATTGAAGCATCCAGACTCGGAAACTCAGTGTCTAGATTCATTAATTTACTAGGGATTTCAAAACAGCTATATTCAAACTCTGTCATAATAGATGGAATACTTTTACAAAAAGACATCCCTTCAGGGGCACCTGGGTGGCTCAGTCGGTTATGTGTCTGCCTTCTGCTCAGGTCATGATCTCCAGGTTGGGGAGGGGGATCAGGCTCCCCGCTCAGGGGAAGAGTCTGCTTCTCCCCCCTCCCTCTGCCCCTCCACACTGCTCATAAGCTCCCTCTCTCTCAAATGAATAAATAAAATCTTAAAAAAAAATGACATCCCTTCATCTAGTTCATTACCCTGAGGTACAGTTTATAAAAAACAGCAAGATAACTGATTCTTTTTTTTTAATTTTTATTTATTTATGATAGTTACACACACACAGAGAGAGAGAGGGGCAGAGACATAGGCAGAGGGAGAAGCAGGCTCCATGCACCGGGAGCCCGACGTGGGACTTGATCCCGGGTCTCCAGGATTGCGCCCTGGGCCAAAGGCAGGCGCCAAACCGCTGCCCCACCCAGGGATCCCCAAGATAACTGATTCTTTTCCCATATTTTCTAACTTCAATATAATGATTTGGTTTCCTATCAGCCTGCAAAAGGGCGAACAATTAGCTTTACATACACACACACACACACACACTCACACACGCGTGTGTGTGTGCGCGCGGCATAAGGGGGGGGGGGGGGAGTAAGAGAGTAGAAGAGGGAGAAGTAGGCTCCCCTGACCTGGCTTGTGATCCCAGGACCCTGAGATCATGACCTGAGCCAAAGGCAGACATTTAACCAACTTAGCTACTCACCACTCCTGAACCTCATAGATTTAAACATACTTAACGTTTATTAAATTATCATTTTAATGCTCAAATTGTCCCAACTTTGGCCATGAGAACTTGGCTTCTGAGTCCTTCTGCCATCACTCTGATAGTGGTTGCTGTCTTCTTGCTAACTGGTAAGATGAGTTGTTCCACATTCATCTTATACATTTCCCGCCCCAGTCGTGGAATCAGCTACTTCTTCAAGTTCTGGTTGCTTTCCATGGGAAATGGTATTTTAAGATCAAAGTGGTAGGAGTGTACATGGCTACAGGACTGGTCATTGTTTTCAGACCTTTTCAAAGGATAGAGACAGTAAATCACCTCAAGAGTTCATACTTATATCCTACTCAAATTCCCTGGCTAAAGGGTTTTTAACTTCTGTACCACACCTGTACCTCCTCTCTGCCACACAAAAAATTCTGGTTCTAAAGGACACAGAACATGAGAGTATTAGAAAGCCCATAATTACTCAATTGCTTTATACTCAATAGATTTTAAGTCCTGGGTAAATTAGCATACTTCCCCCTTTCCTTCTACACAGCATGCTTGCTACAAGAAGATAATGTATAAACACATGTCATCAGTCACTTCGGAAAACGAAACTTTCCCTTTTGTAGTCCAGAGCTAGACAAGTGTCCCAGGAGCTTGGTATAATTGCCAAGCTGGAAGGTGGGGTAAGGGAGAGAGGACGGGGTTAGCTAGGAAAGGGAAAAAAAAAAAAAAAAAAAAAAATCTGCTCTCCTTCTTTCCTCTCGAGCCTAGCCTGCCCTCTAGTGGGGATGCTAATGAGCAAGAAACAGCCAAAGGAAGGTCAGAGAGATAATCAACTTAGCAATCACTAGAACAGGTCCTAAAATACCTAAGGGTAGAAAAGCTCTCTGTGGCTTTAAGAGGCTTCAGGTGTAGCTGGAGAAAGCAGAAGCTGCCCCAAATGAAAAGCACTCAAAAAAAAAAGAAAGAAAGAAAATAAAGGAAGAAAAGCACTTTACAAAATGTCACCAAGCAAAGTGCTAAATTTCAAAATCATGACAGAGAAGGCCAATAGAGTTTCTCAGAATGACTTAATTATAATTATTTTTAAAATTATAATTATCTTAAAAGAAATGCTATTTTCTTTCAATGGACATGTAGTATATTCTAAGATATAAATGCTCATATTTAAAAAGTATATAAGTCACAGGTGACAAGTTTTTTTTTTGTT